TTGGTATTCAGTTTTTATCATTTTTTGAAAAAAACTCGCTACCTCCCGCCTCTATTTTTCGGTGCCTTAGTCTTGAAAAACTTGCTAAAAGCGACTCTGCTGCAACCCAGACCATTGAAAATCATTCACTATTTTGGTAGAAATTCTGGCTACTGTGGGATACAATGCTTTGTTGTAGAGGTAATGAGCGATGATATGGAGGAAGATGCGCGAGACGTGCAATGTGGTACCAATCTGCGAGCGTTTCATGACATCCGCACGTGGAGCTATGCTGTCAAGGTTTCGAATTTTAGTCATCCGGGCTTTATTTTTAACACCTAATTAAAATTTAGTAATAATTTTAACTATTTCAGCCGTGGTCAGAATTTTTTCGTTGTTCCCAGCTCAGCTTGCCTTACTGCATTGATGGCTATATCAAGCGAATGAAGAAAAATTTTAACCGGTTTTCTGCGAATTATGCAGTTGTCACCACCATTTTATTGGTTTGTTTTCGATTTGAGAAAAAAAACAGCACCAACTGTGTTTTGATAATGATGCTTGAGCTGTTTGCTGTTGTTGATATATTATTATTACCATTATCATTATCGTTATCTTTACTTATGTTGCTATTTATGGTTATCAATTAGTATCACATCATCGTTGTTGCTGTCTTTATTGTTGTCGCTTATTATTAAAATTGTGTCCCCTTTTCAACATAGGATTGTCGTAAATCTGACATTCGCTTATCAAGACTAAGTCTCGTCTTCTAAGCGAGCTGTGAGCTAGCAGTTTTCCGGTTTTTATTCTTCAAATTTACTCTCCTTTTTCTTTTCCTGAATGTTTCGGATCATATTCTTTATACTTTATGCCAAGAAATCTAAGCACTTAAATCTTTTCGTGCGAAAGCTCAGAGTAACTTGAGCCTCGATTCGAATTAAATATCATTCTTTTTCAGTTTTGCGGCATCATCACATCATTCTGGCTTATGGTGTCATGCATTGTTCTTGGAATATTTATCTATGCCATTTATACGAAAACAAGGAATGGTCCAGTCAGAATTGGCGTTGAAGAGGTAGCGATAGCGTGCTTCATTTTTCTCGAACTAAATTTTGAAGTTTTTTTCAGAAAAATTTCGCATCTTTCTTCTGATCATGCTGAGCTCTGTTCTGTTATGTTCGTGGGAATTTCGAAAACAAATAATATATGGAAGCTTGACTTATTTTTGCAACTTCATTTTTATATTACCCTCAACACTCTCAATCATCTGCAGACAACTTTCGCCTCTTGCATACACGCAATCTGTATGACGTCACTACGGTTTCTGAAATTTTTTTTGAAATCTTTCAACATCAAATTAAAGTTACTGCTATATGCCAGGTTGCCAGAATCCACAGTGCAATGACCACCGTACACCTGGTCATCAGTAGTCGCAGCCAAGCAAGGAATAGGTTGTTGCTGAGTTTTCCTTGAATAGTGGTTAGTCCTACGCTTTGTCATATAAAGCATGTGGTCAATATGAAGTAATGGGTACTTTTGCTTCCTAATTTGTTTTCATGTTTATCAAATGCTTCCAAACAAAGGTCAAGCAACTTTTGCCTGATTATCGTTCACAGGTCACTTAACAAAAATTCGTATCACTAGAACTCAACAAAATGAAAATCCTCAAAGAATCTTCGCATTTCGTATAATCCAAGCCACTACGATCCCCACGACGATGATGAGTGCCCGCAGAGCGGCTTATGGCGAAAATGTGTGAAGATGCAGATAATAACGCACGTCGCCACATCCATCCAGACCATCTGTGTGGAGCCTTCAGTATTACCAAGCATGTAACCATACAACCTAAATATACATGGCTTTTTTGAACTGCGTTTCTTTTTTTTATCCATTTTTTTGTGTTTTTCGATGCTGTGATGGAACAAAACACATTATCGAGACACTGTATGTTTGTGCGTCCGGATTTTTGTTTGGAATTTTCAACACAGGAACTAGGAGAATTAGGAAGTTAAGGTTTTCCTGTCTGTATGCGATTCAAAGATTTTAGATTCAATTTCCAGGCATCTGCCCAGTACCAACTTACCATCGAAACGAATGAACGAATCGTAGAAGGATCATGAATTCGAAATGCCCATTTTCATGAAAATATTTCCAGATTCCTTCATGGATTTTGTACGCCACAGCAATATTTATCACCTTACCATTGTTCATATATGCTGGAGTTGGGTATATTCTCTACTGCGCTGCCGGTATGTTCTGTTCAGGAAACTGCAGAAGATTAGGCAGCGTAAATTCAGATGCACTCTTGAGCTTTGATTTTTTATTTTGACTCAGAATAGCCGGAATGGAATGTAAAGGCGAAGCGGTCCGATTCAGCACCTCCTACACTTCGGGCAATATTCGAGTAATAATCAACTACTAAGCGATAGGTCTTGCAAAAGTGCTCTGTCGGGAGAATCACTGAGACGATTATTCCTTCAGAAAACAAAACAAACATCAGAATCACCAGTAGGCTAATCATCAGACGATGGAACATTGTTCAAAGCAACGGCAGAAGAAGCTTATACGCCACAGTTTAAAAACACTAAAAACCTCCTGTTTTTATTTTGTAAAATTTGCTAAAAAACTGGGCAAAAGAGGGAGGAAGATCGCTGGGGCACTAATGGTCATTTCCCTATGCACTTTCAAGGGCGTATGCTGTATGACTCAGAAAGTTTCTTGATCGGCAGCAAGTAACAAAAACAACAACCCGCCGACAAAACTGTCGATGGCTTCCCGTTTCGTGGGTTGCTTACAAGCGAGCTGGTGGCAAGTTGGACTGGTTGTTGTAAATGAGCTGCTTGCCCTTCCAGTGGAACAGAATTCTCAAAATTTCCCTTGTTTTAATTACACTATGAAAATATTGTGAATTTAAAGCTGTGTTTATTTACAGTGTCCGGATGGAACAAAAGATAAACAACGGTCGGCATACTTATGTCTTTCACGTATTCCCCCATCAAGTAGCTTTTTTTGCGAAAAACAATGCAAAAGCTCATTGCCGAACTTGTTTAACTTACGCATTGTTGATTACGTAAGCTTCTTCATATTCTTCCAGGAATTGGGATATTTTTGGTGATAATGCATGCCTCATTCTACGGTAACGAGCCATCGTTACATTTACCGGAAGTGAACATCGAATTGGTAACAGAGGTGAACAATCAGTCACGGACTGTTGAAGTTACGCAAAATGAGCCATTGGTACCGAAATCTCGCGTTCGCTTCGATGAAGCTGGCGATATCGATGAATGAAATCTTAGCCTCATAAAACTGAAGCATAAATTAATACTTTTTCCGAAATCTTTATGATGTTCCTGCCTGTGGTTTAACTTAGTTAGGCCTGATAATTTAGTATAATCTAAAAGTAAAGTTTTCTACTGCACCCTGGGAATGGGTTCAGAAATATCATTCTTTGTACCAGAAATACTAAGACTACACAGTACTCCAATCTAGTGGTATTACTGAATGGAATACCTCCAATTGCCGAGCACCACTATGTCAGACGCTTCGACTCCTCAGTTGGTACTCGAAGTGTGTGCTCCAACTCTTCGGAATTTGCCGGAGTGTTCGTTTAATTGTTCGCGGGTATCTCTTACTAATGCGCAACGTCCAGCGGTTGTCGGCAAGACAAGCAACATGCTTATCGGATTTTATCATACTTTTTTGCATAACATCTAACAAGTTGCTCGTCTAGCGAAAAGCATACGCTGAATACAGTACAGAAAATGAGTGTGGATAATTTCTGCATAAGTCGGATCAAGTACGACGCATTTCTACAATTTAAAATACTGAAGATCTAATTTTTATTTTCATGGATTTTCGCAAATGTAAAAATTTATGGAAGCTGTACATATCTTCGCATAGCTGAAGCTGTTCTAAGTTCCATAATCAGAGAAGCTAGAAAGCTGAAATTTTGGGTTTTAGTCCTTGACTCTGTGGCGACTCAGAAAATCATCACCAGCGTCCTAACCCATCACCAGCGAATTTCGAGCTACATTTTGTGTAATTTAGAAAAGTGAACATTTTCTAGTAGGAATTTTTTATTTTTTGCTGGTAAATATAAGCAGTCGAATGGAGTGATTTAAAATCTCTTCTGCGTTTTGAATTGAGGGCCAGAATTCATAGATATAAAGAACTTGGGAAGTCCATTTTTTATTTTTGTGCCATTAGATCATAAATCACTAGTCTCTCAAAATTTCAGCTTTCTTATCCTACTATAAACTACTTTAATTTCATCTGTATATATGTCTGTATACTGCCTTATTATTGTTATTTTACATGTGTATACTGCTTTATTATCATGACTTTATGATTGTGTACTGCTTTTTTATCGTGACCTTGCACCTGAATAGTTATTTTGGTTGGAACCATTATGCGGATTTTCAAAGAGATTGAAGTATGACCAATAATGCATCCACAGCTGTTACAGAATTGCTAACCCAAGTCAATGTTACTGCCAGGATTTTTTTTGACGGAATTTGAAAAATGTGAAGAGAATCCTCACAAATTTGACAAAAAAGGAGCTAAGTTCAGCAACAATTAGTTCTTTATTAAGAAATAATTACTTTCTCACTCAACCAATAAATTTTGTTAAAAAATTTGTTAAGTACAATTAACAGTAGGGTCAAAAATCTCAGAATCGGAAGACCTGGCGTAACTGCGATCCTTTTGCTGGACTTAGTAATATCACTAACATGAAATACACATATTGAAAGTCCGAGCAGTCCTGATGTTCTTGAGATAAAAAACTTGATATTAACATAACAGTGATTTTTTCAAATAAGCCAGATGACAATCTAAATAAAATTTTTGCAAGAAAGCTAGGTAATTTTGCCCCATCACTTCCCGCTTATTTTTTAAATTTCTAGGCCTTGGTTATTCTCTTCCGAAATTTTATTCTTCTGTGCTTGCTCATCACGTTTAGTTCACGTCTTCCATTTCCTACTTCTCACCTGCTTAGTTCGAACTTTAATTTGCAAAGTTTCTCCTGTGAATCAAAGAATCTATTGCCATTTTCGCTACAGAAAAACTGTCGGCAACTGGGGTGAGTGTCTTCTTTTTTTGAAAGGACCTCCTTTTAGAAGAAAAGTGCTGCAGCAACTCAGCATTTAATGAGGAAACAAGAGGCACGGAGGAGGGAGAGGGAGGAAAGCTAACGAATGAGGCACGAAAAGCGTAACAGCAATCGTCTGTGCGAACGCCAATCTCCTTTGATATTAATGAACAAGTTTTTTGCTTCCTCGATTTAGCCAAGCCTTTTTGAAGCCAGAATTTTCTGGCTCTATAAGACCCGAGTGCAAAAGTTCACTTTTGGATGGGCATTTTTAACCAGCCCAAAAGCAAGAGGGATCTAGTATTTGTTTTCACACGTCGAACAATTTTGTTCAAAGAGTGAGTCAAAATCAAAAAATTTGGGAAGAAAAAAAACTCAGAAATGACCATCTACTTCTTTGAAGTAACGATTATCCGACGCTTCGAGTGGAATTTTCGATTTTTTTTTAAACTAACTTCTGCTAGCAGGATAGTTAAAACTGATCATTTAACTCCTTGTAGTACTGATTATACCGTGGTCAGGATTAAATTTTTACGTTTTATGCTGCGAAAATTAGATTTCTGTGACAAATGGTCCAAGAATTCGAATTTAGGCGCCTGGTAGTCCTCACTTCAAAGAGTTAGCGCCCTCAGAAGACATGATCAGTCAACATTAATTGATTCTGCACAGGTCTGTGAAGTGTTAGTTATCATTCATCGGGATTATAATTACGCCTGGGAACCGAACCAGCATCATACGTTCCCTGGAATCGCATAGCTACTGGTTCAGCCACCTGCAACTCTATTGGAGCAATGGCTACATATGTGACAAAGGTAAACAGCGGTCGATCTACACATTTGTGTGATATATTTGGGTAGATTATTCATTCTATATTTGTCCCAGTGCTTAATGAGGAATTGAGGCTTTCTGAATTAAAAAAAAAAAACAAAGAAAAAAAAAATGGCAAAATAGCAATAATTCGAAGATCATTTTATGCCTTACAACAGAGAGGGATCGCTACTTTTAATTAGCGATTGATTGTTTTTCAATTATTTGCTTTCTTGTTATTCAGATTTCGGGATAACTCTAGAAAACATAAGCAAATGAAGCACTGCATGGTCAGCTATAACTGCCTGTCCGTATTTTTGTTGAACGGGAGCCCCTCGAGGATCATAGCGGTATTAGGCCGGCGTAGAAACTGTCGCAGCCCACGCCGCTGAGCTGTGTGGCGCCGATTTAATTACACCCAGATCTGTTGTGTTGCATGTATAATTTACGATCATATCGTTTACCTGTGTTGGAAACTGTCACAATCATTTTCACAGCTACTCAATATTCATATTCTGACCACTGGTCTAGCTACCTCTTTCGTACAAAGTGTTGGCAGCTTTTTTCATTTCTAATTTTTTTTTCAAAATTTTTCAACAGGAAATTTTTATAATTGGTACCTGTTAACATTATGGCGGAGCTTTTCTTTTTGGAATTAGCAACTGACTTACTACAGATTTTAACGCTCTTTCTATTTTGCCAGCTGTTGCTCGAGCAAAAAATTAGATCAGTATAAATTATGCAAGAAAGATGTTATCAAAAATCAAAAATTTTAATTTTGACCGATCTTGTCTGAAAACATTTTATTATTAACTATCTTTAAACGGAGGGAAACTGGAAACTATGATTTTCGAATTTGGCTAAAACTGGCTTTTAGCATAAATTTTTGTTCGCCTTTTCTGCCTTCGATGAGAATGATGAAAAATTGGCTTCACAAAAATGATTAAATGGTATAACAGTGTCGCCGGGACGTGGCTCTTTTTCTGGATGTAGCCTTGCCATTCGACCCCTTTTGTGTATTCTAAGTTTCGTTAAGAGGAAAGTTCAGGGATGTCAGAATACGGCTGCAGATAAGCAAAAAGTCCCACTTGAACTGTAACTTTCGTTTACATTGTTGCAGTCGTGCATACTAGAGCATCCTGTACTAATCCAATTTCTATAATCCGATTATTAATTTGTCTATTCTTTCTGGCGATCACCTCCATCTCAGCTTCTACCATATCCACTGCTACCTCTCCAAGCTTTTCCCACACTTTTTTGTAATCCTACAAATGAGAGCTTGGAAGTTGGCTTGATATTCAACTTAAATGCATTGTTATAAAATAATCAAGACAGCCCGGATAGGCAGTGCAACTATCCCATGTTAGTGACATTTTTAAGACGTGACCACACATCAGAAGCAGCTATGCCAGACTCTTTAATCCTGAAATTCACGCCTCACCCAGCACCTACCATTTGCAAATGCATTATTGCCAAATATACAACTGAAAGATCTGCTAATCCTAGACCCACTAATGCCTGAAAAAAATTTGCTAACAAAACAATGATATTTATTTTCCGAAGCGAAATATTACACTCTCAAAGAAAAATATATTTTGATCATTTGTTGTTTAATCGCCACATTTCTTTTCCCCGTTAACGCATTTTGCAACTTCTCCATTCTTCTCTGTTTTGGGCCTCTTCCATTCAGATAATTTCAAACAGCCGTCCAAACGAATTTTAGGTATACCAGAAAAATCAAAACACTGTGAGCTTTTGTAAATAGTTTCACGTAATCTTTTTTGAGTGTCAGCAGATAGTTTTTTTTTCTTCAATTTTTTTGTTTTTCGAAATTTTTCCTGGGGCAAGTTACTGGCTAGGCTAATGGTGTGACGAATTATTGACAACTGATCAAGGTAACAAAGAGAATAAATTCGAATTTGCCGTTTTTTTCCTGAAAAAGAAGATGTAAACATGCTTTTTGCCCTCTTCATGGATGAGTTGCACTTCATGGTTCCTCCCTTTGCCGACCTCCTCCCTCCTCCCTCTCTTTGTCCTTGATATATGCGGCTTAAAAAAGCAAATTGTTTGTGAATTGTTTTTTTACGACGTGTAATGACGATGTGTTAAAATGGCAGTGAAATGTCATATTGCTTTTTCCTAGCTCACCAAATTGTTCAGGCTCTAAGGAAAATGGAGGAAAAAACATTGGTGGCTAGTAAAACTACTTATCTAGTAAAACTACTTATCAGTGCTAAAACTAAAGGAAAGAGGGATGAGGAGGGGGAGAGGAAAAATTTTACGACACCTAACTGGTACTCATAGTTGTTAGTACTAACAGAGGCGAGTAGAAATATTAGTTATTATAGTTTGCGCGAAAAGATCAAAGACTGAATTTTCATTTAAGCCTAAT